ACCTGCGGTCGCAGCCACCTTGACATTGCTCGGCAACCTGCAAGCACCTGCATACGACGTCGTCGCTTCTGAGGCCGAGATAGCATCGCTGGTGAAGTCTTCTCCACCAGGAGAAGGCCTGTCGAACGAGCCAGAACGCACTCGAAGCCGCTCCATGGTTGGCCTGCACATTGGGCGGCTTGCTGGGGCTAATCCCACCAGCCCTCTGGGCGTAGGTGGCTCCGGGAATTTCCTCTTCCACCCCTCCTTCTTCCCCTTCGGGGAGGGGTTTACCCCTGCCCCTAACCCCCTCCCCTGGACTTGGACGGGGGGGTTCGCTGGTAGTTGGAGCGTCCAAAACGGCCTCGGCGAGGAAGCCAAAAATCATCGGTTTTGCTAGGGTGTTGGCCCCATTTTGGCCTCTTGGGGGGGCAGGGCTAATTAACCCCACCCTCTTCTTTGATCGATCTCCTCCAAGATGGCCCCAAGAGGCGCCCAGGAGGCCCCAAGAGGCTTCCAAAAGGCCTCCAAGAGGCCCCAAGAGGCCGCCAGGAGGCCCCAAGAAGCCCCCAAGGGGCTCCAAGAGGCTCCCAAGATGGTTCCAAGAGGCCTCCAAGAGGCTCCAAGAGGCCGCCGTAAAGCTCCAAGAGACCCCCAAGAGGCCCCAAGAGGCCTCCAATAGGTCCCCAAGAGCCCCCCAAGAGGATCCCAAGCGGCCTCAAGAGGCCCCCCCGAAGCACCCAAGACGCCCAAGAGCCCCCATTGACCGCCAAGAGACCCCCAAGACGTCCGAAGAGGCTTCCAAAAGGCTTCCAAGAGGCATCCGAGCGGCATTCAACCATCCACCCAGCGTCATCATTCTCCTCATCCCTCCTTCGCTCGGTTCCTCGCCATCCCCTCATCTATCCATCTGGCCTCCTCTTCCGCCTCATCCTTTGCACGGATCGGCTGTCCCTCTCGTTGCTCCCCCACTTCCCTGATCTCTTCAACTTGCTTGGACATCGTTTCTGGATGGGCTGGTGGGGACACGCGAAGCGTCAAGAATTGAGCTTGCTAAGCCTTGAGCCAGTAAGCTTGTTTGTACGTTTGTATATATATAGATATAGATGTGTGCATGTGTGCATGTATAGACGTATGTATGTATGTATGCATGTATATATGCATGTATACATGTATGTACGTATGTACGTATGTATGTACACATCGGACCAAGGGGAAATGGGATCCGCAGGGCGCCGCACGTGAAGCATCATGCTATCCACGGAACTGTGGATCAGCTCACCAAAACTATGATTCTACGGGAGAGGGGGTGTCTTCCCAGGACGGAGAGGGAAAGGAGGAGGGAGGAGGCACGAGGAGCGGGGTACGTGTATCCGCTCAACTGAACGGCGCGTCGCTTCCGACATCTGGGGCTCAAGAGGAAAATCTGTCGGTCTACGTAAGTATGTCGTACACCCATGCGCGCGCCCTACGCGCTTAAGCTCTACTCAACTCCCGGAAACCCCATCCTCAACTCCAACGGCAAGCATGCAATTCCTTCTCCCTTCCTCATCCTCCTCCTCCTCGTCCTCCCTCGGCAGGTGGCGACGATCGTGTTTCCGAAAGGCTTTTCAGGAACACGATGGTTTGGGCCGTGGGGGGTGGGGCCCTCTTGGGGGCCTCCTTGGCCCGTCTTTGAACGATCTGGAAAAGCAGAACGGTTGGAGGAAGTTGAGTCTGTCGCCGGGCGGCAGGTCTGGAGGTGGGCCTGGGCGCCACGACGGATGACCATGTGCCCTCTATCCGGCGCTTGAGGCGTCAACTCCATCTTAATGAAAGGACTTGTCCGTCAACTCCATCCTAGTGACAGGAGTTGGCCGTCAACTCCGAATTGACGAAGCCCCTTGACGGCCTCCTTCCGAGCTGCCGAACGCCCTTGACGGCCTCTCTCCGAGTTGACGAACGCCCTTGACGGCCTCTCTCCAAGTTGACGACCACCTCGACGAACCCCCTTGACGGCCTCCCTCTGGGGTGACGAACCCCCTTTGACGCCCCCCCTCGCCGCCCCCTCCGTCTTGACGAACAAGGCGTCGGGGCCCAGAGGATGGTTAAAAACGACCTCGGTCTTGACGAACAAAGTGTCGGGGCCGAGTTGACGGCTGCTCTCGTTTTGACGAACGAAGTGCTGGAGCTGAATTGATGATTGCTTTCGCCTTCGCGAACGTAGTCTTGGGGCCGACTTGACGACCGTCGTGTGCGCTTTTCCAGACATGCGCCGTCTCAGCCATTGGTTTGGACTCAAGGAGGGAGCAGCGGCTGAATAGGGGTTGCGATTCCATCTTCGTCCTTGGTCTGTTCATTTCGTCCGCCCGCCTCCTCCTGGTCCTCGTCCTCGTCCTCGTCCTCATTGTCATCATCCTCGCCCTCCTCCCCCTCCTCCTCCTTCTCCTATTCTTCCTCCTCCTCCGTCTCCTCCTACTCCTACTCCGTTCCTTTTTATTATAGAAACTCCTCCCTGTCGCACCCTGGGGCTGGTCGAAAGGGCGGGACGGAGATTTCGCCTGAGGCTTCCTCACCATGTATGACCCTGAAGCTAAAATACTGGCAACTGTTTGACAGATGGAAGGCGGTTGGTTTTCAAAATGTGGTTATCGCCTTAGCGCCGAGCACATTCGTTTTTAAAATATGCACAAGCTTCACGGATTGAGAAGAGTCGTTTTCAACATGTGGCTCTCGCCTCAGAGCCGCGCACGTTTTGAAAATTGCAAGACATTCGCGGATTGAGGGCGGTACGTTTTCAAAATGTGACTCTAGCCTCAGCGCCGCGCACACCCATCTTTAGAAATTACAAGAGTTTCACTCGATGCGTAGCATTCCAAACATGGCGCTGGGAACGATTCAGGGCTGTCAGGGCGCGACTGGGTAGGTGATTCGCGGTGTTGAAATCCCAGGAACCGTATTCTGGCACGACTCAGGAACATCAAGACGCAACAGTCTGGTTGACTCGTGGTGCCAGTCCTGAGAATGGTTTCTGGTACGCGTCGAAATTTACATACGGTTGTCCCCCAACGGTGCACTTCCCTCAGCGGAAATGAACCACTTGTAGGGGTCTGTGAAGAAGAAGCTTGACGGGAGGGTGTATTCCACCATAACTGATGAGTCTTGGTTTACACTGCCTTGTCCTCCTCCGCCGCCTCATCCTCCTCCCCATTATCACCACCACCACCACCACCACCACCACCATCATCATCATCATCATCATCATCATCATCATCATCATCATCATCATCATCATCATCATCATCATCATCATCATCATCATCATCATCATCATCATCATCAGCAGCAGCAGCAGCATCATCACAATCATCATCACCATCAGCATCATCAGCAGCAGCATCGTCAACATCATCATACTCATAAACATCATCACCATCATCAGCATCATCATCATCATCATCATCATCATCATCATCGTCATCATCATCATCATCAGTTTCAGCTCCACCATCATCATCATCCTCATCATCATCACCATCACCAGCCTCATTCTCATCACCATCATCATCGTCAGCAGCAGCATCATCATCATCATCGTCATCATCATTCTCATCATCATCATCATCATCATCATCATCATCATCATCATCCTGATCATCATCATCATCATCATCATCATCATCATCACCATCATCAGCGTCCCCATCAGCATCATCATCACCATCATCATCACCATCAGCAGCAGCATCATCAGTATCAGCATCATCATCATCATCATCATCATCATCATCATCATCATCATCATCATCATCCTCGTCATCATCATCATCATCATCATCATCATCATCATCATCATCATCATCATCATCATCATCGTCGTCGTCGTCAGCAGCATCATCGCCATCATCAGATCCTCCCCCCCCCGTTCTCCTCCTCCACCCCTGCCTCCACCTCTGCCTCGACCTCCTCTGTCTTCTTCTCCTCCTCCTCGTCCTCCTCCTCCTCCTCCTCCTCCTCCTCCTTCTCCCCCTCCTCGTCCTCATCCTCATCCTCATCCTCCTCATCATCGGTTGCCTGTGGATCCCTTGGGCCATCTTGGGCCAGCTTGGCCGCGTTTTTGGCCGTCTTGGCGCCCTCTTTGCGTGTTAAGCAATATGAAGAGCGCCATGGGCATTGTTGGAACGTCGGCAAGCGGAACAAACAGAATCGGGGAAATCTGATGTTTGAAAAAGAACCTCCTGCTCTGACGGCTGGCGACGGCAATCACGTTCCAGGAAGGGCGCCTGGGGACATACTGATTGCGGCCGTGTTGGGGCCATTGTCGAAGCCTCTGTGTGGCCCTTTCGGGGTGTCGGGGCTCATTTGGGGGGCAGTCACGAGGCTCCTCGGCCGCCTGCCGAACTGATTCTTCAGAAGCGACGAAACTCTCGCGGGGGGCCGTCTTGCGGGCCTTTTTGAAGGGGCCCCAGGACACACAAATAAATACATACAAATAAACATATCCCCATGTTTTCCAATATTTTCTGGGTTTCTTGTCTTCCCCCCCACTTCCCATATTTTCCCATATTTTCTGGGAATCGCCGATCGATTGGGTCTGTGTGTTTTTTCCCCTCCTGACTTTTAGGCCAGATTGGGCGCCTCTTGGGCCGCCTTGGTGCCCTCGTGAGGTGCTGTGGTGCACTCTGGGGAACGTCTTGGGCTGTGTTGGAGCGTCGGCAAACGGAACGAGCAACAATGTGAAAATGCTTGAGAACCTCCTCCTCCTCCTCCTCCTCCTCCTCCTCCTCCTCCTCCTCCTCCTCCTTTTCCTCCTCCTCCTCCTCCTCCTTCTCCTCCTCCTCGGCCCCTGGAGGAAGGATAAGTGTGCATCCAACTGGGCTCGCGCCCTCTTCCCACCTTGATAAAGCCCTGCTTCTGCGCACCCCCGAAGATTATACTTTGACTTTGGCGGCGCGCCACCTAGCCCCACCTCGGGATAACCCCCCACTCGACGCACCCCCCGAACAAGACGTGGCTCTGGGCTGCACGCCACGCGGCCGGTCCAGACGCCGACGCCGACGAGGTCCAGGCCGTCGGGGCTCTTGTGGAGCAAATACTTTTCGAGGGCGTTTGCGGCGGCCTGCGGCGGCGGAGTGGCGGCGCCGGCATCGGATTCCGCCACTGCTTCCCTCAGTGTCCTCCTCCTCCTCCTCCTCCTCCTCCTCCTCCTCCTCCTCCTCCACCTCCTCCTCCTCCCCTCCTCCTCCTCCTCCTCCTCCTCCTCTTCCTCCTCCTCCTCCTCCTCCTCCTCCTCCTCCCCCTCCTCCTCCTCCTCCTCCTCCTCCGTTCGCTGGAGCCACAAGCCTCTCTCGCACCACGCAGGCCGCGGTGCTCGCCGCCTGCCGGCGACCCATATGAAAATCTGGAGGCCGAGCAGCGCGAGAGAACCCCTCGAGCACCACACCCTGCGAAATGCTTGAGACATCATGGGTTAAGAAACTCATAGTCTCAGAATTGGAATAAAAAACACTAAATGTCTACTATATTTTCAGGATTCGCATTGAAACAGTAAGAATAATCGAGACTCTGGCCGAAACCTTCCGTTTTCTTAAGCATCGCCTAGGGTGTACAGGCCAATGCCGAGCCAAGCAACGCGAGAGAATCCCTCGAGCACTGCAGGCCGTTCTCTGGCAGCCCCTCTCGAGCAGGCCATTCGTGCCAGCGGCGGGGAGCGCTGCTCCCTGCAAGGGCGCGCGGGCGGGGCGCGCACGGGGCACCGGGGAAACCGCCCGCGCCAGGAGCGTGGTGCCTGGACTGGACCGCGCTGCAAAAAAAACAGGGCCACGCCACCTCCTGCAGGGTGGCGAGGCAGGAAGCGGGGTGGGGGGGGAGGGGAGGGGCGGAGGGGAGGGGGGGGCAAGCTAGGCGCGTTCGCGTCATATCTGACATCCTACCCCTCCCTCGCATCCCTTACCATGGCGTAGATTGCCTCTCTAGTCGCACAGTCGGATGTCGAGCAGGGCGATGATCCCGAAAGGATACGCGATGCATTGTAGAGCACGGCATGGCATGGCGCAGAAGAGCACCGCAAAGCGTAGTATCAGCCTAGCATTGCAGTGCATGCCGTGGCATGGCACGGGAAATGACGCCAACGCTGCAGCGGGAGCACGAGTCGGAACGAGCGGAAGCGCGGAAATGAGGCCAGCGCTGCAGCGGGAGCACGATTCGGAACGAGCGGAAGCACGGATATGAGGCCAGCGCTGCAGCGGGAGCACGATTCGGAACGAGCGGGGCCCGAAAATGAGGCCGGCGCCTCAGCGAGAGCAGCATTTTGGAAACAAATGCAAGCGAAAACCCAACTCCAGGGAATCCTGTGTAAAAAACAATACGCGGGGGGGGCGAATACTTTCAAACCGTCATCAGGGGAAGAAGGAGAGTAGTATTCATATTGAGTAATTGTGAAGGGGAGGGAGGGGGAGGGAAGGGGAAGGGAAGGGTCTGGGAAGTCGAACTTCCACTACAGGTATGCTCCGCATCTTGCTGCAGTGAGGACGGCGGCCGAATGCAATGGGTTACCGACGTTTAGATCCCCCTCTCAAGCTCTGGCTCAACATAGGTTGTATGTGGGACCAATATTATCTCAGAGCCTCCGTTGCCCATCTGAACCTCAGTCGTCCTATCCGTTTCGGCGGGTAACTGCGACCATAAGCTAAACCGATTGACAAACCCAACTCAATAAGAGACCGCGTCCTGACCGTTGCTATGTTGGACTGTCTTTGACCGCGGCTTCCAAACGCGTAACAAACTACATCTTACGCGGGCCAGGGAGCACTGTCACCGTTGAGCCGCAAACTAGCCAGGGGTCTCTCGGACACCCACGACTATTGCATAACGAAACATGCATTAGAAGCCAGACCAGCAATAGCGGGCTCCCCAACTACGGTGAAGAGTTAACTCGTAGCAGCAGACTGTTTCGTGTTCACTTGGTGGCGTCGGTGCGTAGTCACCTGCTGAACCACCTTCGAATATGTGTTATATGATAAGGTCGGCGTCGTTCTGAAGCATGAAATGTTGAACCACATCGGCCATGTGGTCCTGAATCGATACCGCTTCGCCCTCGGCAAACATACAAACTAATCAGGGTCAACCACATTGTGTTCGTACTGGAAGCCAACTAGAATGACGCATATACTTAGCCTTGTAACTTCGTTAATCCCGTCGTTGGCATTGCTCTTGCGGAATATTGTATGTTGTCGTGGATGGCTGTAGCGCTGCCCCAGCAAAGGTGTAGTCCCCTGCTGGTGCACGCTGGTACTCAAAATTCGCGACCCTGCCGAAGCCGAACCCTAATCATGTTGCACGGTATGCTGGCGCTTAGCGGGCCCTGGAAACGACAGGGCCTTTTTTTGTTACCGGTTCCGTTTTGCCGTTTTTGCTGCCGGTTCCAACGCCGTTTTTTCACCGGTTCCGTCGCCGTTGTTTGACCGGTTCCAGCTCCGGCTCCAATCCTGGAGCCGTTTTCTCGCGTTTTCCGGTCGCCGTTTTTTGCTGCTTCCATGTTCAAGGGGCATTTCTTTTGTGAAGGGGCCCCAGGACACACAAATAAATACACACAAATAAATTGTTTCCTATATTTTCCTATATTTTCTGGGTTTTTGTCTTCCCCCCCACTTCCCATATGTTCCTATATTTTCTGGGGGGTCGACGATTAATTGTGTCTGTGTGTTTCTTTCCCTCCTGATTTTGAAACGGTGAAAAAAAGGCCCTGCCGTTTCCGGGGCCCACAAAGGTGCTGGCGTATTGTTTTACGCTGGGGGCTGCTTGGGTCGTGCTGGCGTCGCTTGACCTGGGTGAGCCCAGAGTAACCTCGCTCCGTTACAGTCGGGGGGGTGACCTAAGGAGCCCTAAAATAAGGAACGGGGCCCCTTTCTCCCACAAGTTGAACTTCGGTTTCCCATGGAGAACCTCAGGAAAACAGAAGGCAAACTGTAGAAGTATCAAAGAACACCGAGCCCCTCCCCAACGAAAAGGGTTCCTTCTTCAAGGCCCCGACTGTACCATATCAAAAGAAGCGTGTGTCCCAACCCCTCGGGCGCTGGGCTCCAGTTTTGAATCGAGCACTGCGGCCTCAACTCCTCACCTCCATCCCGCCTCCCTTCTCCAACCTCCCCGTGTTCTCCTCTCGTCTGCCCTTTCCCTGCGCTCTGCCTGGCTTGCGCCTGCCTGCCGCCAGCCTGCCTCTTACCTCGCCGTCGTCCCGCCTCCCTCCACCCCTCTTCCCTCTTCCCCTTCTCTCCTGCCATTTACCTGGCGTGCACCTGCGTGCCAGCCTACCTCTACCCTCGCCGTCCCCCTTTGGTGGGGCTGCCAACTTCTAAACCGTCGCCACCTTCGAGGGCTGCTGGGGGGTTCAGCGGAGCGACGCGCTACGCAGACTCATACTAGCGCTCGCCATCCCTGAGGGGCTGCAAACTGTGAAACCGTCGCAACGTTTGTGGGCTGCTGGAGGGTCCAGCGGAACGAAGCGCTACGCAGACTCAGACTAGACCTCGCCATTTCTGGGGGGGGGGCCACCTGTGAAACTGACGCCACGTTCGAGTGCTGTTGACGGGTCCGCCAGAGTGACGCGCTATACGCAGGTTCAGATTCGACCTCGCCATCCCTGGGGGGGGTGAACTGTGAACCCGTCGCAACGTTCGACGGCTGCTGAAGGGTCCAGCGGAGTGACGCGCTACGCTGACTCAGGCTAGGCCTCGCCATCCCTGGGGGTTGCGACATGTGAAACTGTCGCCACATTCGTGGGCTGCTGGAGGATCCAGCGGAACGAAGCGCTACGCAGACTCAGACTAGATCTCGACACCCCTGGGGGTCTGCGACCTGTGAAACTGACGCCACGTTCGAGGGGAGTTGGAGGTTTTTTTTTATGCTCGTACCGTGCTCTTGTCGCAGAAAGGAACCGGCGGCATCTGGTGCGTGATGCTGTACAACTCCAGACCTGCGAGCCGCGGCCCCTGACCCAGGCCGGAGTAGAAGTGAATGAAAACGGCGTGGCGTTGCCGCTCCTGGCCGCTTTCGCGGTGCCATGTGCGTCGGAAACACGACGGGCCAGGACGCCCTGTAACGAGGAGGAGGAGGAGGACAGGGAAGAAACTGGACAGACGCAGGTGCGCGGCCCAACTCTCCAACGCGCAGTCTCGCGACGGCCTGGAAAAGAACAAAGGTTTTAAGTTTGTACCGACAGATTTCCGTACAAATGACCCGGCACACAGGGAGAGAGGAGGAGCGAGGGAGGAGGAGGAGGAGGAGGAGGAGGAGGAGGAGGAGGAGGAGGAGGAGGAGGAGGGAAACGAGCAGCTACACAGCCGCCCGGTGCTTTGAGCACCTGCACGCGGCCTCCGGGCCCAGGAGAGGAAGTGAGGGCGGCAGGCAGGCAAGGCAGGGGGGCAGACGAGAAGGCGGCGGGGGGGCGGGGGGGCACGGCCGCGGGGTGTGAGCCACCAGCCCCGCAGTTAGGCGCGCGTGCGCGGGGGCGGACGGGGGCGGGTCAAGGGGTGGCGTTGGTGCCGCGGGAACGGGGTGCCTAGGTGGCGCCCTCCTCCCTGTCTGGCCAGCACGCCTGCACCTGCCGGGCGGCGCGGCGCCACAGCTCCGTGCCGATCCAGCCGCCTGCACCGCCACTCCCCATCCGAGCAGCCACGCCTCCGCGATTGTTGGAGGGTAAGCGGAAAGACGCGCTACTCAGACTCGGGCTTAACCTCGCTATCCCTGGGGGGGCTGTAACCTGCGAAACTGTCGCCACATTCGCGGGCTGCTGGAGAGTCCAGCGGAGTGACGCGCTACGCAGACTCAGACTAGACCTCGCTACCCCTGAGGGGGCGGGGGGGCTGCGAACTGTGAAACCGTCGCCACGTTCGAGGGATGCTGGAGGGTAGAGGAGTGACGCGCGACGCGGACTCATATTAGACCTCACTATCCTTGCGGGGCTGCGACATGTGAAACTGTCGCAACGTTCGAGGTTCGAGGACCGCTGGAGGGCCCAGCGGAACGAAACGATACGCAAACTCGGATTTGACACCGACTTCCCCTGGGGGGGAGGGGGGGGGGCAAACTGTGCAACTGTCGCAACATTCGGGACCGCTGGTGTGTTCAGCGGAGCGACGCGGTACCCAGACTCAGGCTAGACTCAGGCTAGAACTCGCAATCCCTGGGGCGGTGCGATCTGCGAAACCGTCGCCCTGTTCTGGGGATGCTGCAGGGTAGGAGAGTGACGCTCGACGCAGACTCATATTAGACCTCACCATTCCTGGGGGCTCTGCGAAACTGTCGCCACGTCCAGGGGCCCAGCGAAATGACATGCTACGCAAACTCTGATTCGACCTCGCCTTCCCCCAGGAGGCTGCGACCTGCGCAACTGTCGCCACATTCGAGGGCTGCTGGAGGGTTCAGCAGAGTGACGCGCCACGCAGACTCAGGCTAGACCTCGCTATCCCTGGGGGTTGCGGTCACTGTTGACACGTTCGAAGGCCGCTGGGGGTCCAGCGGAGCGACGCACCACGCAGACTCAGGCTAGACCTCGCTATCCCTGGGGGTTGCGGTCCACTGTTGACACGTTCGAAGGCCGCTGGGGGTCCAGCGGAGCGACGCACCACGCAGACTCAGGCTAGACCTCACTATCCCTGGGGGGTGCGGTCCACTGTTGACACGTTCGAAGGCCGCTGGGGGTCCAGCGGAGCGACGCGCTACTCAGACTCAGGCTAGAACTCGCCATCCCTGGAGGGCTGCGACATGTGAAACTGTCGCCACATTCGTGGGCTGCTGGAGAGTCCAGCGGAGTGACGCGCTACGCAGACTCAGACTAGACCTCGCTACCCCTGGAGAGGGGGGGCCTGACTGCGAAACCGTCGCCACGATCGAGGGATGCTGGAGGATAGCAGGGCGACGCGCCACGCAGACTCAGGCCAGATCTCAACATCCCTGCGGGGTCGCGAACTGCGAAACCGTCGCCACTTCCAATGGCCGCTGGGGGTCCAGCGGAATGACGCGCTACTGAAACCCAGACTCGACCTCGCCGTCCTGGGGGCGGGCTGCAACCTGTGCAACTGTCGCCACGTTCGAAGGCTGCTTGGGGGTCGAGCATAGGTGCGTCCTACGTAGAATCATACTCGACCTCACCATCCCTGGGGGGCTGCGAGTTGTGAAGCCGCCGCCACTGTGACGTCCTATGCAGATTCGAAGTAAACCTCTCCATCCACGGGGGGGGGGCTGCGAACTGCGAAAGGGTCTGCATACGTTCGAAGGCTCCTGGATGGTCTAGCATGGCGGCGCTCTACGCGGACCCAAATTCGCACATTCGCCTTGCTGTCCCGCTTCCCGCGGGCCGCCAGAAGACTGGGCGGCGCGCCTGCGGGCGTTTAGCCCCCGCACCGACAGGTGCCAGGGAGGAGGCGTACAGGCTCGCGGGCGAGCGCGGCCTCGCGGGCGAGCGCGGCGCCAGCTTTGAAGCACTGGAGCGCCAAGACGACATGGCGCGGGCTGCGCTACTTTTCCGGCGGGCCACTGGAAAATGTACACGTGGGTCGGAAGAAGTAGCTAGAAAAATGGAGTAGAAAGGCGTTGAAAGTGGATCGGGCTCCGTCCGCCCCCTTGGGAGGACGGAAGAGGGGAAGCCACTCGACCATCGAAGTAGGAGGGCGCTCAGAGTAGGGTGGAGTGTGGGAACCCAAAATGCGAGGCCTGGAGATGGGCACCAGCACCAACACGGGGGGGTGCCTCCACGGCGGGAAGATGACCCTAGATTCCGGTGCTGGCGGAAATAGTTCGGCCACCTTGGGAGCCCGAATATTACCACCATCGCCGACCTCCTCCTCCTCCTCCTCCTCCTCCTCCTCCTCCTCCTCCTCCTCCTCCTCCTCCTCCTCGGTGTTGGTATCAACCTCTAGGCCTGCGACAAAAACACCTATGTTCAACGACCGATGGGTACGCCGCCCGCCTTCCTCGCCATGAAGAGCAAGCACCCCGAAGTGCGAGCACCGTGTGGTGAACGCGGTGCAGGAGCCGAAGGGAGCCCTTGAACCGAAAAGCACAGAGGGCACTGGCGAGGGGAGACCAACACGAACTTTTCTCATGTCTGGGGACCGAACAGCGCCCCCGCCCCACACCGCCCAAAGCTTCTGTCGCCTCCTCCCCACCCTCCTCCCCGCCCTCCTTTTCCCATCCCCCCTCCACCGTACCCCCCCCCCCGTCGCCGCACCGGCGAGCGCCTTGTACATGCTCCACAAGCGATCGTCCTTGCGCCCCCCCTGCAGCCAGACCTTCAGCAGGTACCTGCTGGGGCAGCGCATTTCGGCCGCTGGGCAACATCCCTTCCTTCCCGCGAGCAGTCAGCAGCCGACGCGCACCGCGACGGTTTGCGAGCCCTGCACAGGCGGGCGAGAGGCTTTGCTCACTTTAGACGCTGGACTCCGCTGGAAGGCGGGTCAACGACGCGGCCCCCCGATCAGCGCGGAGCCGACCCGCCATCGCGCGGGCCGGCTCAGGACCTTGGAAGTGGGGGCAGAAACCACACGATCACGGATCCCGGAGAGTGATGCCCCAGCTGGGAAGGTTGAGGGGGGCTCACGCGAGAGGCCAAGTCAGAGCATCCCAGCTCGCGCTCGCCCAGTGACGGAGCCCCCCAGCCGAGCGGAGGCGGAGCGGGTCGTCGACGGCGCGACGCCCGGCAAAACAGCAGACGACAGAGCATGCGGCACGACGGGGCGAAGGCCAGATTACCTGCGGATGCCAAGCGGGCGGTCGCTCTCTGCCGAATTCAGCATCGGACCTCCTCACACGCCTGTCCTGGTGGCCACCCGTTCGAAAGATGGACGGATGACAGGACTGCGGAGGAAGGGAGGGAAGAGGTAGGAGGTAGGAGGTAGGAGGCAGGAGCGGGGACAAGGGGGGAGGAGGGACGAGGGAGGAGCGACGGAGCACAAAGGATGGAGGAGGGAGGGAGGGAGGAGGAAGGAGGAAGGGCCAGGATCCTTAGGTCCAAGGCCCAGCGCTCGCTCGGCGCCCACCCCAAGACACCCTCCCCCGCGGGAAGAAGACGACGACGCAAGGGGGGACGGAGGGAGGCTGGATGACGAGGTGTGGGGGCGAAGGGAAGCAGTGGAGAGGAGGAGGGCAGATGGAGTGCAGTCAACCCATAAAATATGGACCCGCGATGAGGATGGCCATGTCGACGCTTTGCGACCGGGGCGCGGCCAGCAAAAGCGGCCAAGGATGGGCCGAATCAGCCTCGGAGAATCGCACATCCCTACGATGCGGGCTGACTGAGATGAGGGAAGAGACCCCAGCCGGCCCATCGCACGACCTCTGCCGAACCAGCCAGCCATGGGTGGGAAGGCGAAAACCCACCCCCACCCCCAGTCCCGACCCCCGTCCCCGAACCCGCGATTCAAGGAGTCGGGACTGGGGGTGGGGGTGGGTTTTTCGGAGCCCAGGAGTGGAGAAAACCCACCCCCACCCCCAGTCCCGACCCCTTGAATCGCCGGCTCGAGGATGGGCGTCGGGACTGGGGGTGGGGGTGGGTTTTCGACTTCTGAATGGGGGGGCGCTCGTAAAAGGAGTCGCCGTCCGCGCCGAAGGTGATGGTACCCTTGCCGTTCTGGAAGCAGTTCCTCCGCCCGGCACGGGGGCACCGCGCGGGACCGGTGCTGGGACCCCGAGGGGGCGGGGGGAGGCGGAGGAAGAGGCGGCGGAGAAGAGGAGGACGAGGGGGAACAGGAGGAGGAGGAGGAGGAGGAGGGGGAGAAGGAGGAGGAGCACGAGGAGGAGCAGGAGCAGGAGGAGGAGAATCGAAGATGGCAGAGGAGGAGGAGGAGGAGCAGGAGGAGGAGCAGGAGGAGGAGGAGCAGGAGGAGGAGGAGGAGGAGGAGGAGAGGGAGGGGGAGAAGGAGGAGGAGGACGAAGAAGAGGAGGGTGAGATGGAGGAGGGGGGGGGGAGGAGGAGGAGGACGATTTGTCCTCTGCGAGCCGTCAGGCGGGACCAAGGGGGCAACACTTCAGTCCGCCATGGAAGACACGCACTGTGCGCGTCCTCCCTGAAACCAAAACTACGCCCAACGATATTCATCGGACGTGGCAAACCCAGCTGCGGAGACGCCCGTAGGGCGTGGGGGAGCTCACAAGCCCCCCCCCCCGAAAGAAAACAAACGTCCATCGATGGACAGGCACGGTGCCTGCTGTCGCCGGGCGCAAATGGAGGCCGTGCAAAGACTCCCTTTACATGCAGAGGAGCACGACCCCAACGCAAGACGCAACGAAAATGTCACGAATTTCGTTGCGTAAAAAGCAGGACGACGCAGGGGCAGAACCAACGGGACCAACTTGGGGCACCCCAGGATGGACCCATTGGTCGCGTGCAACCCAGCCGTCCGCAGGTGCCCGAGCACATACATGTAAATAAGTGCCACGTGGCAAAGACATGCAAATAAGCAAAGAAAGGCCAAGGCCACCATCTACCTAAGGGAAGAGGCCCAGACCGAGGCATGCCCTCTTCGCCACATGTTTGACCCACGGTCAGCGAGGCCAGTCGGAACAAGGGGCAGCCTGGGCAACACCGTCCGTGGATACCACACCACGGACGGCGCGAGAAGTGAGGGGTAAAGGAGAAAGGGGGAGTCCTGCCAGGCACCGCCTAGACAGGGATACCCCTCAAAGAAAAACTCGTGCCGCGGGCGGCGGCCAGACAGGTCGCCGGCGCCCCCTGCAAAGTGGCGTCAGCAGAGCTGCCGTTCCCACCGCCCGACTAGCCAGCTATGGAGGACCCAACAGTCCGAGACGCCTTCTTGACCTGGATGCGGGACAACATAGCAAGCATCCCAAGCGGCTGGATCAAACCCTCGGGAACCTGAGTCGGCAACGAAACCTCTGGTGGCACAGGCGCGGCCGCGGCGTAACACATTCAGTTGACCCCTCGCCCCGAGGATGAGGCTACAATGCTCGTTGTCATTCCTGTAATGAGGGCGCAGACCGGCCAGGATATGGCGCAACGTAGTCTTCGCGCATGGAAGCCCAAAGCCTTGACATTCCTGCCCGAGTTTGAAACGGCGGCGCGAAGTATAGACGCCGCACGTAGCACCAAAAGCACATGCACGATATCGCGTCGCGACGTGCGACAGTGGTCTGGGCCAGCATACGGCCCCTGGAAAAGCCCGACCACCCCTCCAGGACAGACTAGGGCCACGACATCCGATCATGGACAGGCTGTCCGCGTCGGTCGCAGGCACCTCAGCGACCATGCCTGGCCCCCGTCAAGAAATGCTCAGCGGCGCTAGCCGCCCGACCGAAGGTGCGTAAACCTCGGACCCAGCTGGGGCCCATCGAACTTCTCGACGGGAAAGTCACGCAGAACGTTGGCCAATGCAGTGGCCGCGAAACATGACTTGCCAATTCGCTCGCTAACTCCTCGGCAGCGATCTTCGGGAACTTGAGAATGGAGGGGGAGGCCTTGCTGGCCTAAGGAATACTGGTCATCGTCTCGGGCCACGGGACGCTGTCGGGAACCTCTCGGGACCTATTAGAAGGGGTGCGGCGCGCACTGCACTGGCGGCCCCTCTTTCCATGCAGATACGCCCCCCGACGAATTCCAGCATGACAATGTGTTCTGGATATCTGATGTGCTAACACGGCGTTACACAGCTTAGTGGCGGTGGTACAGTCAGAATAGCGGTCTCCACTATACACGGCAAGCATCGGAAGAACGGCCATGACCTGGCGTTCGGCGGCCTGCGGCGCCTGCTGCAACACGCCCCGCACCGCCCCCTGAGCGCGGGCCACAACGTTGCCTGCGGCATCTAAGAATACCCAAGCATGCGCAGCTCAACTCACATTCCGGATAACACGCCGAGAGCAAAGCCCGTCCACGCGCACGCCCAGACCCCTTAAGGTCTAACGAGTCTCAAGGAATTCCCCGACCCTGGGGATCACACGAAACGGAGTTAAGGGGTTCGACCTCGGGGAAGGCAGAGTTGGCCCAGGATGGCCTCACTTGAGCCCTCCCCAGAAGCAACGGCCCTCGCCCTCAATCGCCGCACGCAACCTGGCTGGGCGGTCAGCTGCAGCGCCCCCCCGAGCCTGCACAACTCACGGACGAGCGCAGCCCCGCACGCGGCGCCTGACTCCATCAGGGGCTCCGCACAATGGGACACCCGCCATCGCAGTCATTAGCCAGCAGATCGCGCCCTGGCCCGTGCCCACACGCCCCGCAGAAGGCCGCCGCGGCCAGGCACCTTTCCCGAGGACGCAACTTTCTGGAACCAGGACCCAAGAGCCGAACCAGCGGTCCCGCGCACGCCCGCGCCCCATCAAAGGACGGACTGAGCTCCGCGAGAACTCCTTCCAAGATGTCTCCGGGCACCTAACTGCGCGAGTTGGGCCACGAGCGCAGGGGGGCCATGCCCGAGGCGAACCGCCCGCTCGCGGTCATCGACCCAGGTGAGAGCCGAAAAGCTTCGCCAACCAATCCGATTCAAGGAGAGCCGCATTCTCTGGACGGGCCCAACGCAACTACTTCTCTGCCACGAAGGACAGTATTCCAAATTTGGCAAAGCTCTTTCACGCAAACAGAAAAAAAAGCGAGAGGACACGTGGGAGCGGCCCGAACAGTCCGCGCCCACTGCAACGCGGGGGCCACGCCAGCTCCCCAGACGGGGCCCCCGCACAGGGCCAACCTTGCACGAAAAGAAATACCCATGTGGCGGGGGGGGGTGATAAGATGACATAACTCTCTGCGCCACACGCATCTCGCTATGGCTCATTCCGAAGACAACGGCGCCAAGCGATGCAGCGGGGGCCAGTATCGCCACAAAAAATGCGACCTTTCTGGCGGGGCAGACGGTTGCGGCACCTTCTCAAAGCCCTGCACCTCGCGCGCACCTGTCTGGAACGCTGCTTTCGTTCCCAGATGTCACTGCGCACGCGGCGTTTTTGCCCCGCCGCCAGACCCGTTCCTATCGCACCCGCGCAGCTGGCGACCGCGCCCGCCGCGCCGCCGAGCAGTTTGCCGAGCCTGCGAGCAAGGGGAAGGGCGCTCGCAAATGTTGCGAGCTTGTCAGCTCGCAACTGGACGCGCAAGTGATCGCGGACAATGATAAACATGGCCGCCGCAGCTTTGGTCATCCAATCCAGTACCTCCGATACACAGCCCGCCTCCGTCGCTGGGGAGTCACTGTCAACGCGTGAGCTCAACAGGGCGAGCGGGTGCGGGTGCCCCCCAGCGAACTGATAAAAGGCCTCAAACTTGTAAACCAGAACAAACACATCGTTGAAGATATCACCCGCTGGGAGCCTCGACCGCGCGAAGACAGGAGTGGCCCCGTACTGGGCTCCAAAACGTGGAAGTCTGGAACCTCTCCAAAACGCATGAACGGTTTCAGAACCGCGGGATAAGACCGCGGGCCAGGGCACGAGATTCCAACAGCTCCCAATCAAAACTTTCGCAATATCTCGCATCACCCCATATCACACCGCACGAGAGTTCACCCGCGCGGGCAGAAACCTCCGCCCCGGCCCCCCGGCGCCACGCAGCACCCCCAGCAGCGCGCCCAGGCCCGAGGGCCCAAATGCGCCTCGGGTAGTCCTCGTCGAAACGCAAGGGGACACGCCTACGATGGCGCCCCCCAATACGGACAGGTCTAGCACGCAACAGGACGGGCATCAACCCCCCTTCGGGTTTCTCGAGGAGGGAGAACAACATCCAGAGAAAGCTGTTCAGGGAACAGCCCTAACCTCTCGACAGCCTGGCAGAGAGCCCCCAAGGCGCTGCGAGCTTCGCCCGACACCCGCGAGAGCTGTTCGGGGTGGACTCTGGCAAGAGACTGAGAAGCGAGGAGGGGGGAACTGGCACTGGCGCCGCGAATCCCCCGAGCCGAAGCTCTCGGCAAGCGCGCGCGGTCGGGGGCCTCAACTGGCGCAGGCCTCGACGAGGCATGCCACGAAGGAGAGAGCGCCTCGCCCTCGGCCATCAGCCAGGCCCGGGGGCCGCTGCAAAACTGACAGGGGGGGGGGCTCGACGCAGGCGGGGGCCGACCTCTGCTTCAAATTGGCGAGCCCGCGCATCGCCCGAGCACCTCCTTTCAGCGCCTTCCCCTGCCATTCGACCCATGAGTCCTGCTTGGCTTTCGAGAGGCCTTCCCGGGCGTCGGCGCGCCCCCCCCCCAGGCCCCGCCGAACCCCCGCGCGTCCGGCACCCAATCCTCGAGCGAAGGCGGCGGCCACATGCGCGCGAGCGCCCTGGCCTTCACAGTCGCAGCATCGAGCCGTGCCGCCATGCCTTCGCAAGGGCACGGCTGAGTTACACTACGATGAGCCTGCTGACAAGCGCCCTGAGCAAGAGTCTCGCTACTGCTCGGATTAGCACAAGAATTCAAAGTCGCGGTCAGGAGCCGCATCGCAAATCCAACCGTCAAATCTCAAAAACATGTTGCGACAACCAAACCCATCCTTGGTTGGCCAGCTCCGCGCAAGCACCCGCGCGGCTGTCGGCGACCCCCCCTTGCCGCACCTCGCCTTTGATCGGAACTCCCAAACGCGATTCAAACTCGAGCTCAAGTCTGTTAGACAAAGCCTGGCACGCTTTGCTGCGCCACCCCCCGGCGATACCCGCGGGCTGGCCCAAGGCCGCCGGCGCAGCGCACGCGGCGACATCTCTCGCCAAAATCCGATCCCGCGGTTGCGGGGGGAGCCCGAACGGCAGCTCGATAGGGAGCCGCCGGGGAATTCTGCAAACAAGTTGGCACAACCGAGCCGCTTACCCCTTAAGTCACAACCTAACAGGGCGGCAGGGGCGCCCGCCCCACGAGACCTCACAGCACGCGCTTCCAACGGCTCTCGAGGAGGCAAAACTCAGCATGAAAAATCAACCCCACTCAACGCGCGGGGGCCGACGCGCGCCGCGGACGGAGGAACAAAAAAGCGGGGCCCAAGTCTCCAAGCAGAACCGTTCTTTTCAAACAACGCGGGATCCAGGTTCCACCCGCCCCCCCCCCGCCCCACCCCCCCCCCCCCCCCACCCGCCCCACCCCACGCGCGCAGCGAGAAATTCGTGCTCTAACGCACGGTCGACGGCCTGAGATAAACCAGGCTGAGCTCGCGCAGGGCAGCGCCGCCCTCCATGCAAACGCAGGCCGCGGCGAGCGCGGGCCAATCAGGCACGTCAACAATGACTTTCATGGATCGAAAAAGAACAGTACCCCCCCCCCCCCTGTCCCAAGCCACAGCAGACCCAGGCGGGTCCGCGCCCAGACGACCACGCCCCACACGGGCCGACCTTCGGCCCCACAAACCGACGGAGAAGCGAGCATGTCCCATCCCAACTTACCCGCGGCGTCGCACTTTTTCCCCCAATATATCCCCCGCGAAGCCCACCTCCTGGGCAAGGAAGATGAGCGCCGAGCCGACAGCGAGTCTGTCTCGCAGAGTGCCCCAGGAATTTCCGTCGCAAGACTCAACGACCTCACCGGAGCCGAGCAAGCCCCCACAGTCGGGGCCGAGGCGAGGAGGAGTGGAGGAGTGGAGTGGATGTCTGGACATTCTCATTCTCAAGCATTCAGGCAAGCGAGGCACGTTACCCCAAGCGTCGACACTTGGAGAGCAGCTCGTGAAGCTTCTCATGGAAGGTCCTCTTGCCGACGCGCTCCGCAGTCCAGAAGAGGCCCCCCAGATCCTCGTCGATGTCGAGATCTGGCACATCGGTAGCTGCTGCCGACGCTGAAGCTCCCTCTGCGCCAGCACCTCCCACCGCAGCTCCACTGACTGCCGCGCAAACCGCTGGCTCGGCCGCTGCTGCTGCAGAGGTGCCGCTGGGAATGCCGGACGCAGGCGATGCACCTGGCTTTGCCTGTGGGCACAGCTCCTCCAGCGACACCCTCGCAGACGCCCACGCCCATGCGACAATCACAAGTTGCATCGAACGGAGAAGGACGGGTCGGCGTTTTCTTCTGAGCCGCCTTGCGTGCGAACGCCGCTTCCTTGTACAACTTGAAACGCGCTGAGTCGAACAATTCATCCAGCTGCGCCTGCTACTCGAGGCTGCTTGTCAGATCGCCCATGTCCAACAAATCCTTACTCTGTGCCACCGCGGAGGGGAGGGTCTTGACGAGCTCCTTGCGGATCTGATCCACCTCTGTGGTAGCAAGCAGGCGCTGAGATTGTGAGCTGTCCAATTTCTCTTGAACGATTCAGTATACATCGAACTGTTCAGAGACCAGGCTAGCGATCTTCTCCACTTTGAGTTCAGCCCGCTGAAGTCGGTGCCCGATGTTGGTATGAACCGTGAGCTCGGGCTTGAGACTGCAGAGCTGCTTGCGCGTTTCCTGCAGCTGGGCATCCGGCGCCGCCTTGGTGCCGTGACAGTTGGGAACCTTGTTCAACGAGAGGCGAGCCAGCCCCAGGTGTTTCGTAGTGTCTCGCAGCGCTAGCCCATTCTGCTCATGTTCATTCGGGACAGGAGGAGATGGCCCAGCGCCATTGGTGCCACTACCAACGGGAGACGAGCCACCACCTGCGCAGCTGCCAACCAACAAGTCGCATTTTCTCTGCAACTCCGCGTGCTGCTTTACTGTAGATGTGATGACGACGCACATGCCCCCAAGACTGCCGCGAGGAGGCCGAACACCAGCATGAGACCGAGTAGCATTATTTGCATACTTGCGAACAGCCTTGGCGACATGAGCTGGTGCTGGTTTGCCACAGCGGCAGAACAAGCGAGATGCCCAGTTCGTATTGAGCCCTTACGAACATGAGGCGCGTCCCTGAGGAGCGCGGTCGAAGATGCCCCGCAGGGCGCCGAAAGGCTAGCCAAAAAAGACACGCAGCAGCGATTGCCGCTCTGAAGACTGCTGCTGCAAGCGCAAGCCGAAATACCTGAGCCAGAACGGCTGAGGAGGAGGAGGGAGGAGGGGAATGACACGGGGACGAGGCGAAGGAGAGGGGGCAGGGAGAAGGCGGCGTAGGCGGCGGAGAAGGGCGAGGGCGAGGCGGCGGCGCAGAGGAGAGGAGAGGGGGCAGCAAGGAGACGGCGGAGAGGGGGCGGAGGCGGCTCCCCGAGACACCGCTGCGCGCCCAGTGCCAAGAGGGGGAAGACGAGGACGAGGGCGAGGACGAGGACGAAGACGACGACGACGACGAGGGCGACAATGACATCGAAGGCAGAAACAGCAACAACGACACTGACGACGGCGGCGACTACGACCGACGACCGACCGACGAGCGGCGACTGGCGACGACGAGCGGCGGCGGCGGCGGCGACGACGACGACGACGACGACGATCGACGACCGCGGCGGTGGCGACGATCGATGACCAGGGCGGGCCCCGGGCGGAGCAACGGCCACAAGCCGTCGAGGGAGGGGTACTTCTGGATCGTGCGGTAGAACTCGTCGGCTGGCCGGCGGGGCATGCAGGCAGGAGGACGCTGGGCGCACCCCCGCTGTGTCGCGCGCTCGGGGCTGCCGGCCGACGCGCCTGGCCACCCTGAACAACAGACCCAAGACGGCCTTGCATCTGCCAGACGAGGAGGGGGAGGAGGAGGAGGAGGAGGAGGAGGAGGAGGAGGAGGAGGAGGAGGAGGAGGAGGAGGAGGAGGAGGAGGAGGAGGAGGAGGGGGAGGGGGAGGGGGAGGCGGAGGAGGAGGAGGAGGAGGAGGAGGAGGAGGAAGAGGAGGGCTCCTCTCCTATCCCCCCTTCCTCCGTGCCTGGGCCGTGGACTGGCGAGTTGCCCAGGACGGGGGAGAGCGACAGCGAGGGAGGGCCAAGGACGAAGACACGTCGAGGAGAGGCTGGGGAGGGCGAGGGCGAGGGAGGACGGCGACGAGAGCGAGTCGAGCGGACCACACCAGGAAGGACGAGGACGGCGACGCCGACGACGACGACGCCGACAACGCAGACGACGACGACGGATCATGCTTTTTACACGACCAGAGGCGGCACCAAGACTGAACAGCCAGATCAGGCCAGACGAGACTGGACGGGAGCGGACGGATACGGTGAAGATCTCTTTGAGGCAGACGGGGACGCACCAGCACGGAGAGGTCCTCTGTACTCCTTCTCCTCATCATCAGCAGCACTACACTCATCGTCATCACCATCATCATCATCATCATCACCACCACCACCACCACCATCAGCAACACCATCATCATCATCATCATCATAATCATCATCATCATCATCATCATCATCATCATCATCATCATCAGCATCATCATCACTAGCATCATCATCACCACCATCACCACCATCAGCATCATCATCATCATCAGCATCATCATCATCATCATCATCATCATCATCATCATCATCATCATCATCATCATCATCATCATCATCGACATCACCATCATCATCAGCATCATCATCATCATCATCTCCATCATCAGCATCAGCATCATCTTCAGCAGCAGCATCATTAATCATCATCATCAGCAGCAGCATCAGCATCAGCATCACCATCATCGTGACCATCACCATCATCATCATCAGCAGCATCATCAACAACATGATCACATTCGACAGCATGACCATCCCCATCAGCATCATCAGCATCGGCATCAGCATCATCGTCATACACAGCGTCATCATCATCATCATCATCATCATCATCATCATCATCATCATCATCATCATCCTCATCAGCAACAGCATCAGCATCATCATCACCAACACCATCATCATCGTCATCATCAGCATCATCATAATCAGCACCATCATCATCAGCAGCAGAATCATCATCAGCATCATGATCATCATCATCATCATCAGCAGCAGCATCACCAGCAGCAGCAGCATCAGCATCATCGGCAGTATCAACATTCTCATCATGTTCGGCATCACACTCGTCATCGTCATCGTCATCGTCACCATGTGCATCATATCCTCATCACCACCACCACCAGCACCATCACCATCATCATCACCACTATCACCATCATCATCAGCATCGTCGTCGTCGTCAGCAGCAGCAGATTCATCAACATCATCACCATCATCATCACCACCAGCCGCATCATCGTCATGATCATGTACATGATCAGCGTCACTATCATCATGATCATCACTATCAGCATCAGCGTCATCATCATTATCACAATCATCGGCATAATCAGAATGGCCTACATCATCCACATTGGTAGCATCATCATGATGATCAAGATAATGGTCATCACCTGTATAAGCAGACGAAACCTCCTGCTGATCACTACCGTCATCATCATCATCATCATCATCATCATCATCATCATCATCATCATCATAAGCATCATCATCATCATCATCATCATCATCATCATCATCATCATCATCATCATCATCATCATCATCTTCATCTTCACCATCGTCATCACCAACACCATCATCACCCTTATCAACATCAACATAATCATCAGGTTGCTCATGGACATCATCATCGTCATCGTCATCGCCATCGTCGTCGTCCTCATCATCATCATCACCATCACCACGACCACCAGCAGCAATATCATGACCACCACCATCGTCGTCACCGTCACCATCATCATCAGCAGCAGCAGCCTAATCATCACCATCATCACCATCACCATTATCGTAACCATCATCAAAGCCAGCTTGATCATGGTCACGATCATCGTCGTCATCACCACCACCGTCATCATCATCACCATCAATAATCGACATCATCAATCATGACAACCATCATCATCATAATCATCATCATCATCATCATCATCATCCTCATCCTCATCCTCATCCTCATCCTCATCCTCGTCATCATCATCGTCATCAGCTTCACCATCATCATCCTCCGCATCATCATTAACACCATGATGGTCATGACTCAATGATCAAATTCTTCATTGGCATCCTCATCCTCCTGCTCACCATCATCACCATATTCGTCATCAGCATCACCATCATCATCAGCATCATCACCAGCAGCATCAATATCAGTATCGCAATCCACATACGCGTCATCATTATCATCACGATGGTCATGATAATGATCATCGAATGCATCCGCATCCTCATCCTCCTGCTCAGCATCATCATGATCATCAGCCTCATCATCAACAACAACATCAACATCAACATCAACATGTTCGTCATCATCAGCATCATCACCACCATCATTCCAAGTGGCCATCCTCATGCTTGCCCTCCCTCCCCCTCCTCTCCCCTGACTCTCCTTCTCCGCCTCTTCCTCGATGGACAGAAGGGCGTTACCCTCCCTGCCGCGAAGGTGTGAGTCGCCAGGCCCCGCAAGGAAAGCGAGGGGGAAGACAAAGAAGCAAGAGAGCATCGTGCCTGACACGACGAGGAGGAGGATTAAGACTCCTGCCCAGGCTTGGGCTCGGGCGCGGCTGTACAGCATGCCGCTCACACTTGACCATGATCAACACCAGGTTCTGATGATGTGCGCGTATGGACAGGAACAGGTCCAGAGGACGCTGAGGACGCACTCATACATGTGAGCGATGATTCGAAACGGGTCTTGCGCCAGATGGGAGAGAGCGTGATCCACCGCCGCTTTACTGTGGAAAACTCCCCCCCTCCTCCGGAACCCCGGGGTCCCCCCCCTTCGAAAATCCCCCCCCCTACCCGAATCCCCCCCCCCAAATCCCTCCCCCCCCTCCCCCTCCTCCAGAAACCAGGGGGGAGTCACTAGCGGTTCGAACCCCCCCCCTCCAGAATACCGGGGGGGAGTCACTACTGGTTCGAACCCCTCCCCCCCCTCCAAAAAACTGGGGGGGGGGTCACTAACGGTTCGACCCCCCCTCCAGAAAACCAGGGGGGGTCACTAGCGGTTCGAACCCCCCCCCTCCAGAAAACGTGGGAAGACCACTACCGGTTCGAACCCCCCCCACTCACCAGCGGCAAACGACTCCCGGGTCCCCACCACCGTCCGCACCACATCCCCCACTGCTGTCCCAAGCAAGACTGTCCCCACCACCACGGTCCCCACTGTTCCCACCACCGTCCCCACTGTCCCCACCAGTGCCCCCACCACTGTCGCACTGTCCCCACTGTCCCCACCACTGTTCCCACCACGGTCCCACTCCCCCACTTTCCCCACGGTCCCCACCACTGTCCCACTGTCCCCACTGTCCCCACTGTCCCACCGTCCCCGCCGCTGTCCCACTGAGCTGTCCCACTGTTCCCACCACTGTCCCCACTGTCCCCACCACTGTCCCCGCTGTACCTCTGTCCCATTGTTCCACCACCGTCCTCGCCACCGCCCTCACCAATCCCCACCACCACTGTCCCCACCACTGTCCCACTGTCCCCACTGTCCCCGCCACTGTCCCACTGTCCCCACACCACCTTCCGCACCACCACCGTCCCCACCACTGTCCCACAGTCCCCACCACTGTCCCACTGTCCCCACTGTTCCCACCATTGTCCCCGCTGTCCCCACCAGTGCCGCCACCAGTGTCTCACTGCCCCCTTTCTCCCCACCATTGTCCCACCATGGTCCCGCTCTCCCCATTGTCCCCAGTCCCCACCACTGTCCCACTGTCCCCACTGTTCCCACCACTGTCCCACTGTCCCCACTGTCCCCGCCGCTGTCCCACTGTGCTGTCCCACTTTCCCCACCACTGTCCCACTGTCCCCACTGTCCCCACCACTCTACCCACTGTACAACTGTCCCACCACCGTCCTCACCACCGTCCCCACCACCGTCCCCACCACCGTCTTCACCAGTCCCCACCACTACCGTCTCCACCACTGTCCCACCGTCCCCACTGTCCCCACCACTGTCCCGCTGTCCCCTCACCACTGTCCCCACCACCACCGTCCCCACCACTGTCCCACTGTCCGCACCACTGTCCCACTGCCCCCACACCACTGTCCCACCACCACCGTCCCCACCACTGTCCCAATATCCCCAACACTGTCCAACTGTCCCGAGGAGCGGGAATCGTTTGCCGGCGGCGAGGGGAGGGGGGCTCGAACCAGCAGTGGCCCCCCCCTTTTCGTGATGGACTGGAGGGGGGAAGAGGGGGGGCTCGAACCGGCAGTGACCCCCCCGGTTTTCGAAGGGGGGGGACTGGTTGGGAACCCCCAGTGACCCCCCCCCACCTCCACCTCCACCTCCACCTCCTCCTCCTCCTCCTCCTCCTCCTCCTCCTCCTCCTCCTCCTCCTTCTCCTCCTCCTCCTCCTCCTCCCCCTTCTCCTCCTCCCCCTCCTCCCCCCTGGTTTTCCGCCAGCAGCGGCAGAGCACGCTCTCTCCCAGCTGACATTAGCGACCTCACGCCGCAGCGTACGCGGGCCGCCGGTGCGGCACGAGACGCGGGAGGCGAGGCGCGGGCAACTTGCGCACAAATGTCGGCGAAGTCGAACCCGTGTTTGTTTGGCGTCACTCATGTCAGGCTCGTCATGCCAAGCAGGAGGAGGAGGAGGAGGAGGAGGAGGAGGGAGGAGGAGGAGGAGGAGGAGGAGGAGAGGAGGAGGAGGAGGAGGAGGAGGAGGAGGGGGGGGGAGGAGGAGGAGGAGGAGGAGGAGGAGGAGGAGGAGGAGGAGGAGGAGGAGGAGGAGGAGGAGGAGGAGGAGGAGGAGGAGGAGGAGGAGGAGAGGAGGAGGAGGAGGAGGAGGAGGAGGAGGAGGAGAGGAGAGGAGGAGAGGAGGAGAGAGGAGGAGGAGGAGGGAAGAGGAGGAGGAGGAGGAGGAGGAGGAGGAGGAGGAGGAGGAGGAGGAGGAGGAGGAGGAGGAGGAGGAGGAGGAGGAGGAGGAGGAGGAGGAGGGAGGAGGAGGAGGAGGAGGAGGAGGAGGAGGAGGAGGAGGGGGGGGAGGAGGAGGAGGAGGAGGAGGAGGAGGAGGAGGAGGAGGAGGAGGAGGAGGAGGAGGAGGAGAGGAGGAGGAGGAGGAGGAGGAGGAGGAGGAGGAGGAGGAGGAGGAGGAGGAGGAGGAGGAGGAGGAGGAGGAGGGGGAGGAGGAGGAGGAGGAGGAGGAGGAGGAGGAGGAGGAGGAGGAGGAGGAGGAGGAGGAGGAAAAGGAGGAGGAGGAGGAGGAGGAGGAGGCACGACGTGTACCCCAGACGTTGAATGCTGCTGGAGGCGGGCGGGCCCCTCCGTCAGGCTCGGGCCCGAACTCTTGTTGCTGCACGCGCGCGCAGAGCAGGACCTGGCTGAGGTCCAGCGAACGGCCGTCGCACGGTTTTGGGACTCGGGTCGTTCTCCGAGGACACCCTCGGGCGACCGGGGCGTCCAAGGCTCCAAAGCGGTGCCGTGACGCACCGTGCGGCGAGGTCTTCTGGGATCTCGAGGTCGCCGCACGGCCTGTCACCGCACCGCGCCGGGACCCCCAAACTTCACCAGGGGGGCAAGGAAATACACACCGGAGAAGGGTTCAGGGAAAGGGGGCTGGTGTTGCGAAGCCTCGTGACAAGCACATGAGCAATTAAGACAAGCTGGCGCGGTGCGCAATACCTCTGCACAGCTGCCTTCCAGCTGTCTCGGGAGCGGCCAAGAGGGGGGCGTCCAAAAGGGGGGGGGCGCTAATCATGGCCAGCGGCATGTGCGCGGCCCGGTTGGGGGCCAGGGACGTACTGAACTAAGAAGAGGTGCCCTGAAATCTGGGGAGATAGCATGGCCCCCGCCATGATATCCACCAACCCCTAGTCGCCACCCCCCTCTTCGCCGCCCCCGAAATATCTCCGCACAGCTGGCTGTCTGCTGGGATGATCGCTATATTACCCCGGGAAGCAAACAGTAAACCCCCGGCGATATCGTTAGCACAGAAAATAAAATGAATAATCATTATTTAGGGCGGCGCCCTCCGGCGATATCGTTAGCACATAAAAATAAAATAAGATATTTAATTAATTTGCCCCCCCTTGGGCCCGAAGCTAGCGGCAACGTAAGGCGACAGCCTGAAGAACCAATGAGCACGAACGCTTGCCAATGGGTTCCCGCCTTGCTAGAACACCGGGAAACTGACGCGCATCGGAAATCAAAGGTAAATCAAAAATGACAAACAATGAAATCCCGGGTAATAGCTGTCACGGGGAGCTCCATTATGGTCGGCCCGCCCAAGTGGGAGGCTCATCGGACAGCAAGGCACCGAAAAAGAGCCGCATTTTGTTGGGGCGTCACACGAATCTCACATGAACATCAAGGGGCCCTTACAAACATCTCCAAGGAACACTAAAGGAATATCAAAAGAACCCCAAAGGAACCTCAAAGGAGTCCCACAAGAATCACACAGGAAACGGCAAGGAATCTCAATAATTTGGAAAACGAGGGCTCGCGTGGACATAGACAATTCCTATTGCGACCGCGATAAAGAAATTGATTTGTTCAGGGGATCATATGGAAGAACCCACGGAGGGATATCGCAGACGCATTCCGCGAACCCCCCCGCGATATGTTAGCACATCTATTTAAAATGAAAAAGCCACCGGCAACGGAGGTCGATGTGGCGGTTCCTTCAGCAAGGGAGCACACACGAATCTCACATGAACCTCAAACGACCCCTACAAAAGCTTCTAAGGAACACTGAAGGAAGATCAAAAGAACCCCAACAAAGGAGTCCCACAGGAATCACACAGGAAGCGGGAAGGAATCGAAGGAATTTGGTAAACGAGGGCTCGCGTGGACATAGGCAATTCCTATTGCGACAGCGACAAAGAAATTGATTTTTCCAGGGGATTATTTGGGAAGCCCACGGAGGGATATCGCAGACGCGTTCCGCGAACCCCCCCGCGATATGTTAGCACATGTATATAAATGTATATATATATATATAAACATATCTATATATATATATGTATGTGAAAAAGTTAGCCGCCGGATCCGGTGGCCCGTGTGCAAGTCATAGGAAACCATGGGAATCCATAGGAATCCAAGGAATCACTCAGGAAACCGCGCCAAGGCTTCACAGAACAGCACCGGGTCGAGCACGACCTGGGGGCACTCCTCCTCCCCCTCTCCCCCGCCCGTCACTCCAACAATTGCGGCTTGAAAGCAGGGCCCGAGGGGACTGGGCATTCAGAGGCTTGTGGAGGCCGGCCTTTCTGGATGCCTCCTGGGAACCTCCGGGGACCTCCCCTCCGCGGACCTCTGGTGACCTGCGGGGGATATCGCTTCCGCCCCGGCCCCGGTGCCGGAAGCGTTATAATTTCCTCTGATGAGGGGGGGGGAGGGGGGTTTACTGATTGCTTCCCAGGGTTTCTCGCCAGGAAAACCGCAGGCGTCGCAGTCGGCCGCAGCTTGCCTGCCGACTCCTCCAGCCCACGTCGACGTCTGCCTAGGACGACCTTCCTTCCCAGCGCCGGGTGGCTTTCTCAGAACGCACGAGGGAAAGGCGGGCATGGCAAAACAACGCTTGAGGTAAGCCTTTAAGCCTCCTGGTCAGAGGCCCCCTGGATGGGTTCCGAGTAGATGGGGTCTGAGGATCGCGCCACATCGCAGATGCATCGGCGATGCATCGACGATGCATCGACGATGCATCGGCGACGTCGGCGGCACATCGGTCGGCGACGCCAACAGAACATCGGGCTCCGCATCGAGCCGCATCGCCGATGCATCGGCGATGCGGCGCGATCCTCTAACCCCATCTACTCCGACCCCATAAAGGAGGCCAAGGGTGGGCCCGCACAAAAGGTCACTCCGGCGAAGGGCCACTCTTACGTGTAGTAGCTTGCTGGGCTTAGGGAGGAGGAGGAGGAGGAGGAGGAGGAGGAGGAGGAGGAGGAGGAGGGAGGAGGAGGAGGAGGAGGAGGAGGAGAGAGGAGGAGGAGGAGGAGGAGGAGGAGGAGGAGGAGGAGAGGGGAGGAGGAGGAAAAGTAGGAGGAGGGGGAGGCCTAGACAGGTGAGGGTCGGGTCGGGGCCAGGGTCCCGGATTCGGAGCAGCAGTCCGCGGGGCGATCCGAGGCGGCGGCAGCTCAAATGTCTATCTCCAGACCCCTCCCGGGTTCCAGGCGCACCATGCCTTCCGGCTGCGCCCGGCCGCGGCGCCGAGGCGGGCCCCCGAAGGCCAGCCGCCGCTGCCGCAACGGGCCTCCTCAAGGGCGCCCATCTTCGCGCTGCGCGGAGCGCGAAGCGCGAGCAACTGTGCGCTTCGCGCCGCCCCCCAAGAGAAGAGGAGGATGAGGAATCGGAGCCGAACCGCGGAGCGCGAAGCGCGAATACCTTCGCGCCCTCGAGGGCGCCCTTGAGGAGGGCAGGGGGTGTGAGGCAGGAGGCGGGGCACAAGGGTCGGCGGCGAGCCTGAGGGGGAAGCGAGAAGAGGCAGGCCTTCTCAGCAGGCTCGGAAATCTCCCGGCCTTCTGATAAGTTTTCGGCAACTTCCCAGAAGACACAAGAAACGTCACCGCAGGCCGAAAGCCTCCTGAGAAGCCCCGCCGTCCCTCATGAGAAACGTCACCGAAGGCCTTCTCCTTCTGACTTCCGCCCCTCGCTCGCCGCCAAAGGAGGCGGGGCACCTGGGGCAAGGGGCACAAGGCAGGGAAGGAGGCGCGACGCACCGAGGCACCAGCGGCGAGGGCGACGAGCGAACGACGACTGCAGCGAACGACGACGAATGACGGGGACGGACGGCGCACGACGGCGGCGGATGACGGACGACGAACGACAACCGACGGCGACGACGGACGACGATGGACGGACGACGGAAGGCAACGACGGAGGCGACGACGAGCGACGGCGGACGGCGACGACGAAGCAACGACAGTGGCGACGGGCCAGCGACGCCTGACGACCGACGCCCGTCGGCGGACGACGACGGACGGTGGCGCACGACGGCGGCGAGGCGGCGAGGACGCGAGCGGCCGGCGGGGGCCACGCCGCGCCTCTCGCGCGGAAGGAGTCGTCACCCGAGACGTGCGCGAGGTACCTCTCGAGGGTTTCGAACGCGAAAGATACCCGCACCCTTAACCAGGCGGGGTGGCGAAGGGCGAGGGGAGCGACACGCCGCAGCCGACGGCGGTTGCACAAGTGCAGATGCGACGGCCCATGGAACATTACAGGACGCTGTCTTTTCGGGGCGTCCGCTGGCACCGAAGGCGCACGCGTTACCACGCATTGGCCGCTCTCGGGCTAGAATCACTCGTTCGGAGGTGCGCACACGAACGCACAATCAAGCGTTCGGGGCTCCACGCGCAAAATGCGTCGTGGGTGTCCTGGGCGGACGCCGCTGCAATCCCGCGCTCGCCACGAACGCATGGGGCCCCGAACGCCAGGCGCGGTCGCCAGGGGCTGCTCCTTGGAAAACCCGCCCGGCGTCACCCTGGCTAAATCCGGGCACGTGTCGGGGGGCACAGTCGCCAACGCGCCTTCATGGTGCCCCCACACACGTACCCGCACCTAGTCGGGGTGGCGTTTGGTCGAAATCGCTCTCGGGCGTACGCGCGGCCCCCGAGAGCGCCCCCGAACGCGGCCGCAGCGGCCCCTGGGGGAGCGTGAGATTGCAACGACGCTCCTGCGGGCAGGCCCAAACGCAACGGAATGGTGGCGCCTGTCCCCAAATGAAGCAGGCACCACCACTCCAATGCTCTTCTGAACCCCTCGGACACCCTCGATGTCCACAGACGGCCCTGACGCAAACCAGGGCAGGTCGCTGTAATCAAACATCCAGCCGTTCAGCGCGTCGTTGTGTCCTGACGCGCGGATGCTGAACCAGCGCGCACGCGGCAGACTGATCGGGCGCAGTGGCAATCGCCCAATCGAGCGGACGGCCCTTCACCCAGGCCGACCCCGGGTAAGGGAATGTTTAAGACCAATTAGAGGGGGCACCCGAGCCCGTGTGGGGCGGCCGCGGAGGAGGGGCCGCCGTCGTCGTCGTCGTCGTCGTCGTCGTCGCCGACTGCCGACTGGGCCTATCGGGTGTCTCACAACCCAGTCACTCACACAAATGCGCAGGCGCCAAAGAGCGTTCGGGCACTGTGGGCGCCAAGCATCCCGCGCTCCGCGAGCTCGCCGGGGCCCATCTGATTCAACCGCTGGTTGGTCAGGTAAAACACACACCTCAACTCGCCAAATGAAGCCTGAGCTTGACATGGCACGCGCCAGCGGAGGAAAACAACACTGGTGTGGGCATTCGGCACGGGCGCCAAGACAGGGCTCCAAGAGCAGCACCATGCAGTGTGCCTCCACGACTAAGCCAGCGAAACGCGTCGCCGCAGAGCGCCGAGGCTAGAGGAAGAAAGGAGGAGGAGGCCTTCACGGCAGAGGCGACAACGAGGAAGACCTGGGAGTCCCAAAACAATGCGGCAACACGTTGGGCAGCCCAGAAGGGGGTCCAAGTAAAAGTGGGTTGTGTAAGAATGTGTTGTTTGGAGTTGGGACCTAAACCGTTACAACGACGCATTCGCAAGATGTGGCTATCGAGAATAAATCACACCACGAACTTGTATTGCCGATGACTTGAGACGTCGTGCAAATTCGACGCGCCAAGGCCCGCCAGTGTGTCGCGAGCGGATTTCCGATTCGGCCATCGGAATCGGAAAACGCTCTCAGGCACCCCACGCCCCCTTGCTCGCAAGCTCCTCTACACCCTGCGAAATGCTTAAGAAATCATGGGTTCAGAAATTCACAGTCTCAGATTTTGAATACAAGCCCAGAATGTCTATTCAAATCTTGGGATTTACATTGAAACATTAAGAATAATCGAGACTCTGGCCGAAAACTTGGGTTTTCTTAAGCATCGCCTAGAATGTAAGCGATTAGGTCGGATCTTGACGGGCACCCCGCAATCGGCCGGCACGGCAGCGCACTGCAGCCTGCCAGCTGCAGTGCATCGCAATAAAATTGGGGTGCTGCAGTAGAGTTGGGGCCCCCTCCAAGAGACCCCCAGGAATCCCCAAGAGGCCCCCACGAGGCTTCCAAGCGACCCCTAAGACCTTCCCAAGAGGCCCACAAACTACCCCCAAGAGGCCCCCAAGAGCGCTCGTCGTCGTCGTCGTCGTCGTCGCCATTCAGGGTCGGCGGCACCAGCCGTAAGGCCTTCGCAATAAAATTGGGGTGCTGCAGTAGAGTTGGGGCGTGCAGTATGTTCAGGGGCGCAAGTAGACTGCTCGATGATTGCGTGAAATACGTTCTTCACAACACAATGCAATACAAGTCTGCGCGCAATACATTTGCAATGCAATTGCCCGTCTGCAATACATTCGCAATTCGTCGTCCCCAAGCGTTGCAACTGCAACGCGAGTTCTGCCGAACGAGGCACTCCGTACCAATCACGCCAACTCTTCATGCGACTGCTGCCGCAAATGAGCCACCGAGATCTTCGAAAGCATTCCGCGAAACCTGTCTGCCGTCTGTCTGATTTCATTGCATCTCCCGAGGCTGTTTGCACGCACGCGCTGCAACGAACAGCGGAAGCGCACAATCACTTTCGCACCAGCTCGTCTGACTTTTCAGCGCCAACTAACTTATTGCCAACACCCCCTTCCACCCGGACCCACTTTTGAGGTTCCTTGGATCGGCGTGGTCCTCACCACACAGTCCATCGCCAGACGGTCTTGGGACCTTGGAGGCACCAGTCGCCCGAGACATCCCTGGAGAACGACAAAGTCCCAAAACCTTACGGTCACCCTGAATCCCCGACGGTCCGCAAGTTCCATGGAATTCCGAAACAGGAGGCTGAGAGGAAGAGGAGGCCAGGGGGGGGAAGGACAGGAGGGCAAAGCGGGAGCAAAAGTGAAGGGGCCCCAGGACATACAAATAAATACACACAAATAACAGGTTCCCCCATATTTTCCCATATTTTCTGGGTTTTTGTCTTCCCCTCCGCTTCCCATATTTTCCCATATTTTCTGGGGAATCGACGATGAATTGTGTCTGTGTGTTCTTTTCCCTCCTGAAAAAGGAGGAGGAAGGGAGGAGGCAGGAGGAAGAGGGGACGAGCGCGAGCGGAAGGGAAGGGGCGGAGGCAGAGAGGAGGGCGAGCAGAGACGCTGGCCTCGCGCGCGCTCGTACTGTCTGCTCCCTCCTGCTGCTCACCCGGCCGCCGCCGGAGGCGCCCAGAGTCCTTCTGGGCCTCCCGAGGCCTGCAGAACGGCCGCGGGGAGCCTCCGAGCTGGCCGAACGCCTCCCAAATGCGGGCAATATCTATATCCATATCCAGTGCGTCTTGGACTTTCTTGGAAGGGGCGCCGCAAGGCCGAGGCGCACTGGATATGGGTAAATATTGAGCCTTTTGGAGGCAGATTATAATCCATATCCAGTGCGCATCATGTCTCTTGGGAAGAGTGTCCGAAACTCCAAGACGCACTGGATGTGGATAAAGACATTGCCCGCACCAAAGGTCCTCGAACGCTCCCGAAGTCGCGACGACGACGAGACCGACGACGGCGAGGACGACGGCAAGCACGCCCCCGCTCTCCAGGAAGGGTCCGCACCGCCTCGGGAGACCGGATCAGATCGGAAAACAGGTGTCAGATTCGGCCGCATCGGCACGGAGTCCAAATAGAACAGGACCGTTAAGGACCAGCTGCGCCAGGATGCGCAGCAACGCCCATGAGAGCAGCGGGCCGCATCAGACCGCCGGGATGTCGGAACCGAATCGCACTGGGCCAGCAAGAGTCGACTTCGCGCCGGGCCGTTCGGATCGAAAAGGACCGTGACCTCGGTGTTGCGGACACACCCTGGGGCACCAGCGGCGGTCCAGGATGATTCGGGCACCCCCAGAGCGCTCTCGGTGAGGTGCAGCTGCTGGAACGCAACAGCCGAAAACGCGCCCGCATGTCTATCCTCGGACCTCCTCGGTCCTCCTCGATCCTCAATCCTGGCTCTCTTCGCAGCGCCAGCGCCGTGGTATGTTCCGCAGCCGCGGGCCCACAGACGGAGAAGATGAAGAGGAGGAGGAACTGGAAGTGAAAGAGAAAGAGGAGGATGAGGAGGAGGACGGGGAGGAGGAAGATGACGCCACGCCCCCCAGGCACGCTCTAGGCGTCCACCGAAAGACCCCGCCCGCTTGTGAGCGGCACCGACTGCACTGGTCTCCGCCTGCGGTGCTACCCGCGGAAGCCAAGAGGAGGAGGAGGAGGAGGAGGAGGAGGAGGACGAGGAGGAGGAGGAGGAGGAGGAAAAGAAGGAGGAGGAGGAGGAAACGGAGGAGGGGCAGGAGGACGCACGAGGACTAGAGAAAGGGATGTTAAGGGCGGATGTGGGAGATGGGATATATCTGTAGACTGAAGAACGAAACTAAAGTATTAGTATGACAAGTATGTTGGCAGGAAGGGGGAAGATCCTGCTGCAAACGGCAACAAAAAGCAGGCCAGTATGAACACTTGTCCCGGACGCGTGGCCGATGGCCCGGGGTCTACATCGGACAAGGATGAGGTGAGACAGGAAGGACAGATACCTCGAGTCTGGTGCTCAAACAGGTTCGTCGTGCCGTCGCTGGCGGCGAACAGCTGCAAAGCGTGTTCTTCTGATTGCACTCTGGAAGATACTATGCCTGCTGCGGGGGCTCTGATGACTGCGTCCACGCGAGTAGTACTAGTGGGGCAAAGGCAAAACATGCTGCTGCTCAATTGGCATGGTCAGCTGGAGCAGCACCCAGTGAATATTCAATTTCCATGTAGTCCCTGGCCGCGGTTGCCCGCGAAGCTTGGCGAGCCGGTGGCTGCTGGGTAGGTCGCAAGGTGTACCGATGAGCGGAATTACGGTGGTCGACACAAAGTCACACGAGTCGCCTATACAGTGCTTGATGGTGGTCGTAAATGATCTGGCCGTCCATCACCTTGAGGACGAGTTCCCAGCCCACGCTGCCGTTCCCCATGGGGTCGGCCCGTGTGTCCGAAGTGCCGCACCAGACTAGGTATTCGACTCGTTTGGTGCGAAACTGGTCAGCTCACCGCCACGGGAGGCCTGCGATGCTGCTCCCGTTGA